ATGATGTTAGTGGTAGTTTGATACTGATTTGTGATGTTAGGGGTAGTATGATACTGATTTGTATCACTAAACACCATCGTTGTGTGAATTTGACGTGTAAATGCCAGATGTCTCAATTATATCAGATGGATCTTGTGGTGGTCCGAGTTGCTGGCCCACAACCAAATGTTCACTGCCCACAACCGTCACAACTATATGTTCACTGCCCACAACCGTCACAACCATATGTTCACTGCCCACAACCATCACAACCATATGTCACTGCCCACAAACCGTCACAACCATATGTTCACTGCCCACAACTGTCACAACTATATGTTCACTGCCCACAACCGTCACAACCATATGCTCACTGCCCACAACCGTCACAACTATATGTTCACTGCCCACAACCCTCACAACGAACTGTTCACGGCCCACAACCCCCACAACCATATGTTCACGGCACACAACCCCACACAACCATATGCTCACTGCCCACAACCGTCACAACTATATGTTCACGGCCCACAACCCTCACAACGAACTATTCACTGCCCACAACCGTCACAACCATATGTTCACTGCCCACAACTGTCACAACTATATTTCACTGCTGACAACCCTCACAACAAACTGTTCACTGCCCACAACCGTCACAACTATATGTTCACGGCACACAACCCCACACAACCATATGTTCACAGCCCACAACCCCACACAACCATATGCTCACGGCCCACAACCCCCCACAACCATATGCTCACGACCCACAACCCCACACAACCATCTGTTCACTAAAGTGTACACACTCAACTAAGAGAACGTGAAGCTGCAATAACATTTAAAATGTGAGTCTGTCATCTTGTTTAGTAACGTACCGTTCTGAGTAAAAGAATTAGTTATATAAGATTAGCATTGCTCAAACGTTACCAAGCAAAGCTCTTGAAGGGCGACTCACGAAGAATCCCGTCCCAGGGGGTCAAACGGTTTTGCAGCCGCTGGGCCGCCTGGCTGAGAACGCCCCCAGAAAACTGGGCGACTCTTGGCTGTCCTGGACTTTAAAAAATACCAAACTCGTTTAAGATGAAGTCCCACTATCAATACAAAATTAAACCAAAGTCAATATCACCTTCTCTACAGAGTTTTGGCCTACATATTATGTTACTAGAACCACTATGCAATCTTTACCACCTCAAATAGCATTTACTCTAACTAACATCTTGTCACATCACCTTTACTTCATCAAATAGCATTTACTCCAACTAACATCACGTCACCTTTACCAACATTTATGTCACACACCTCTATTGATATCCTCTAAACCCACCATTACCACCATACCGTAAGACTAGAACAAGCTCATGTATTGCCAGTAACAACATATATGTTCTAGGTCTATTAGAATCCTGTCATAGTCCCTTCACCACTGTGTCATGTCATGTCATGTCAAAAACATACTTTTGATGACTTTATTCCATTTTTGCATATGATCAGGTTAAGCTGACCCTAAAGTCATTAAAACCAGAAAACTCAACCGTTGACCTCGAGGCCCTTGTCAACATATTGACCACAGACACCCAGGACCATCATGGACTGGACAACATGGCAGCCATGTACATTTCCCTGGATGGGGTCAACCCAGATGACCCTTCGAACACCAATGTAAGAACTTGACCATTACTTCAAATGAAAGATTTGTTTGTCAAAGGGCCTTAGAGTTACTAGGTGTTTTGAAAATGCTATGCAAATTTAAAAAAAAAATTTTTTGAACACTGAAAAGTTGTAAAATATTATTTTTAAAATAGGAACGGTCTTTAAATGAGGGATTTGGAATAATGAAGTCTTTGCATTAAATGAAGGGTTTGGAATAATGAAGTCTTTGCATTAAATGAAGGGTTTGGAATAATGAAGTCTTTGTATTAAATGAAGCGTTTGGAATAATGAAGTCTTTGTATTAAATGAAGGATTTGGAATAATGAAGTCTTTGCATTAAATGAAGGGTTTGGAATAATGAAGTCTTTGCATTAAATGAAGGGTTTGGAATAATGAAGTCTTTGCATTAAATGAAGGATTTGGAATAATGAAGTCTTTGTATTAAATGAAGGATTTGGAATAATGAAGTCTTTGCATTAAATGAAGGGTTTGGAATAATGAAGTCTTTGCATTAAATGAAGGATTTGGAATAATGAAGTCTTTGTATTAAATGAAGGATTTGGAATAATGAAGTCTTTGCATTAAATGAAGGGTTTGGAATAATGAAGTCTTTGCATTAAATGAAGGATTTGGAATAATGAAGTCTTTGTATTAAATGAAGAATTTGGAATAATGAAGTCTTTGCATTAAATGAAGGGTTTGGAATAATGAAGTCTTTGCATTAAATGAAGGATTTGTAATAATGAAGTCTTTGTATTAAATGAAAGATTTGGAATAATGAAGTCTTTGCATTAAATGAAGGGTTTGGAATAATGAAGTCTTTGTATTAAATGAAGGATTTGGAATAATGAAGTCTTTGTATTAAATGAAGGGTTTGGAATAATGAAGTCTTTGCATTAAATGAAGGGTTTGGAATAATGAAGTCTTTGCATTAAATGAAGGATTTGGAATAATGAAGTCTTTGTATTAAATGAAGAATTTGGAATAATGAAGTCTTTGCATTAAATGAAGGGTTTGGAATAATGAAGTCTTTGCATTAAATGAAGGATTTGGAATAATGAAGTCTTTGTATTAAATGAAGGATTTGGAATAATGAAGTCTTTGCATTAAATGAAGGGTTTGGAATAATGAAGTCTTTGCATTAAATGAAGGATTTGGAATAATGAAGTCTTTGTATTAAATGAAGGATTTGGAATAATGAAGTCTTTGCATTAAATGAAGGGTTTGGAATAATGAAGTCTTTGCATTAAATGAAGGATTTGGAATAATGAAGTCTTTGTATTAAATGAAAGATTTGGAATAATGAAGTCTTTGCATTAAATGAAGGGTTTGGAATAATGAAGTCTTTGCATTAAATGAAGGATTTGGAATAATGAAGTCTTTGCATTAAATGAAGGATTTGGAATAATGAAGTCTTTGCATTAAATGAAGGGTTTGGAATAATGAAGTCTTTGCATTAAATGAAGGATTTGGAATAATGAAGTCTTTGCATTAAATGAAGGGTTTGGAATAATGAAGTCTTTGCATTAAATGAAGGGTTTGGAATAATGAAGTCTTAGTATTAAATGAAGGATTTGGAATAATGAAGTCTTTGCATTAAATGAAGGGTTTAGAATAATGAAGTCTTTGCATTAAATGAAGGGTTTAGAATAATGAAGTCTTTGTATTAAATGAAATGGTTAGCACAAAATTTTGAGCCAAACTGTCTGATCCCAAAATGATACCAGGAAAATTTCTTTCTTTTGCCCTGTTTCAGGATGGAATGGTCTACAGTTTTCCCACAGAAAAGAATTCTCTCCACCAACTCCAGGGAATGTTTTACACATTGGCCCACTTGGTCAAGGACATCAAAAGGTCAAGCTCTATTCAAAAGTGAGTCAATTTGTCACCTGAAGAAACTTGCTAATCATCCTGTGTCCCTAAATACTCTCCCCTCCCCCCTCTCTCTCTCTCTCCCTCTGTTGAAGTGGTTAATTAATGTAATTAAATTTTTTAAATTCTAAAAATGTAATTCTTTTTTTTTTAAATTATGTTTTTGTGGCTCTGATACATTTAATTAGTTTATTATAATTATTTATAAAGAATTGTATAAAATTTGTTTTTTCAGCACTACACTTGACATTGACAAACAAAAGGTTCACGTGGCGTACCTGCAGGAGTGCAGTGATATTCTAGTCCTGGCCATGCCAGCATCTTGGTAGGTATCATCAGGACCATTACCCTTAGTTCATCCCATAGTGGGTTTGCAGTAATGCAATACACATGACAGTTAAATCCCTAGTCCCCTATTTTCCTGGAGTCTCTCCTAGTCAGGCACCACTGGGGCATAGCTCACAAACTCCTGGAGTCTCTCCTGGTAAGGCACCACTGGGACATAACTCACAACTCCTGGAGTCTCTCCTAGTCAGGCACCACTGGGGCATAACTCACAAACTGCCAGAGGGGATAGGTGCACAGGCAGCACTTTAAGGGGGACCAGCTGCACTAATGCGCTGGAAGCTTGGATCAATCTAAATAAAGTTTTCAACTGTTCTCTCTGCAGTGTTTCAGTGTCACAGGTCAACACTCTGATGGTAGAGTTTGCCAGACTCCTCAGGACTCTTTTTGGTTCCATTGAATCCGTGTTCAGCAAGGGGAGCTCCTCTGTGTTTGTGGACAACATCCTGACCTACATGTTCCGCCAGGTGTTGCAGACATCGTCGCCAGCTGCGAGTCTCTCTTCATCGGCACCAGGGATTAAGGAGAATGCCCACTCTAATGCAGAGTGTTTCCCCTTTGTCAGATATTCCCGGCACATCCCTTCACTCAGTCTGCCTGATGATCTAATGGTGAGCTGGCCTTATGAGATACACTTATGCCACATTCTCAGATACACAAAACTCAGTCTGCCTGATGATCTAATGGTGAGCTGGCCTTGTCAGATACACTTATGCCACATTCTCAGATACACAAAACTCACACCCTCAGGATGAAAGGCGTTGGTCTTCTTGTTTGTATTTCTTATTATTTCTAATTTACTTGAGACCTTGATTGAGTGTTAACTCTTGTATTACTATTTTGCTAAACATCATTTGGAGGAAATTCATTAAACATCAAACAAAGAACATAATTAGAAAACCGAAAAGTTCTATTCAGATAGCTATTTTGGCATCAGTACTGTGTGCTAGAAGTCATGAGTTTCATTAAAAATAATAGCATTCTTTATAAGCTGCTCTAAGACAGTGTTGATTAAATTTGTACGTCTGTCATGGGCCATATTTTGGTTAACCAAAGACCTTTTAAGGGTTTACAGATAGCAAAAAAACCAACAACAAAATTAATCCAAAATGAAGCCGTAACATAATTTAAGTGGTGATAACATTACAGATCTCTGTTGGAAGGACTTTGAGTGAATTTGAATCTTCAGACTTTGCAGACATGGTGAGTCTTAACCTACTGTCTCTTTTAGTTTATAAAATGGATATCAATGGGAAATTTGTTTTACAGATGCTGAAAAAATGTCCAAACTGGTCAGTTTGACACATGGAAAATGAGAGGGCCTACAAAATGTTATACTGAATCAAATAAAAATTGTTGAACCCCTTGTCTGTTTTATTTCCCATGCCAAGTCGGCTCATGTGATCTGACTTTGGGTGTTGCTCATTCTTACCTAATAAAAAGCTGCCTTAAGTGGGCTGACAGGTCTATTCAACTCTGCTAATTACCATAAGCATGGGACCAACTGACTTATGAGGCATGGTGCCACCAACTGTTTTATGAGGCATGCTGCCACCAACTGGCTTATGAGGCATGCTGCCACCAACTGGCGTATGAGGCATGCTGCCACCAACTGGCTTATGAGGCATACATGCTGCCACCAACTGGCTAAAGAGGCATGCTGCCACCAACTGGCTTATGAGGCATGCTGCCACCAACTGGTTAATGAGGCATGCTGCCACCAACTGGCACCAACTGGCGTATGAGGCATGCTGCCACCAACTGGCTTATGAGGCATACATGATGCCACCAACTGGCTAAAGAGGCATGCTGCCACCAACTGGCTTATGAGGCATGCTGCCACCAACTGGTTAATGAGGCATGCTGCCACCAACTGGCTTATGAGGCATGCTGCCACCAACTGGTTAATGAGGCATGCTGCCACCAACTGGCTTATGAGGCATGCTGCCACCAACTGGCTAATGAGGCATACATGCTGCCACAAACTGACTTATGAGGCATACATGCTGCCACAAACTGGCTAATGAGGCATGCTGCCACCAACTGACTTATGAGGCATACATGCTGCCACCAACTAGCTTATGAGGCATACATGCTGCCACCAACTGGCTAATGAGGCACACATGCTGCCACCAACTGGCTTATGAGGCATGCTGCCACCAACTGACTTATGAGGCATACATGCTGCCACCAACTGACTTATAAGGCATGCATGCTGCCACCAACTGACTTATGAGGCATACATGCTGCCACAAACTGACTTATGAGGCATACATGCTGCCACCAACTGACTCATGAAGCATACATGCTGCCACCAACTGACTTATGAGGCATACATGCTGCCACCAAACAGACATGCTGCCACCCACTATCTTATTAGGCATACATGCTGCCACCAACTGTCTAATGAGGCACACATGCTGCCACCAACTGGCTTATGAGGCATGCTGCCACCAACTGACTTATGAGGCATACATGCTGCCACCAACTGACTTGTAAGGCATGCATGCTGCCACCAACTGACTTATGAGGCATACATGCTGCCACCAACTGACTTATGAGGCATACATGCTGCCACCAACTGACTTATGAGGCATACATGCTGCCACCAACTGACTTATAAAGCATACATGCTGCCACCAACTGACTTATGAGGCATACATGCTGCCACCAACTGACTTGTAAGGCATGCATGCTGCCACCAACTGACTTATGAGGCATACATGCTGCCACAAACTGACTTATGAGGCATACATGCTGCCACCAACTGACTTATGAGGCATACATGCTGCCACCAACTGACTTATGAGGCATACATGCTGCCACCAACTGACTTATGAGGCATACATGATGCCACCAACTGACTTATGAGGCATACATGCTGCCACCAACTGACTTATGAGGCATACATGCTGCCATCAACTGACTTATGAGGCATACATGCTGCCACCTAATGAGGCATACATGGGGCCACCATATGGCTTATGAGGCATACATGCCAATATAAAGGCACTTTAATAAAAATCACTAAAGGATTCATAATTATACCACAAAAAATCTTTCAACAAATTTTAACAAAAATTAATTTCAATTACAAAATTTGATGATTTGATTGCCATTACTTAACAACTTCATCCAATTTTCCCTTCATACACCAGTCCGAGAGCTTCTATGGATGTCGGAGGCAGTACAACATTCTGGGCAGTGCCTTCTTCTACTGCGGCCAGCTTGTGGGTAGTCATATGTCACGCGAAGACCTGCAGGACATTCATGTGTACTTGCAGCACCTGGGAGTTCTTGACCTCACAGCTCGGTGCAGGGTGGCTCAGTTTGTGGCCTGGCGAGAGGTGTATCCAACAAGGTTCTGCTTCGACATAGCAGAGATTAATAATAACTTTGGTTACTCAGAACCTAATGCCCGCTGGTGTGTTCTAATAGTTGGCTTGGTAAGTGCAAAGATACTCTAAATAAAACCTTTGAAAGAATCTCATTGTTAGAAACATTCAAAGTCAGTTGCATACAAATTAAATAATATAAAAAAAAACATTGATCAAGTCACCATGCAAAGGAAAACAAGTTTAAAAAATGCCAGATTCCCCCCTCCCCCTTGCCTTTTCAGACTTTGTGGCCTTAAGTTTAAAAACCTCCATATAAGTGTGAAATGTTTGCTGATCAACTGCCATATTCAATGTCAATTCTGTTTATGAAGGGGCTTCCTTTTATTCCGCACATTATTAAGTTGTACATTGATCATTGCTGATGACCTATTTTACTGACCATTATTCTGCTGCTTCTAATTATTTTGTTCTTGCTCCTCAGAAACATGGTGTGTTCTGTTGTCTGTTGGAAACAGTTAGTCTCCCATCTTTGTAAGTGTTGACATTTCTTACTAGATTTGATTTCACCAACCATTTTGACAGGATTTCCTTTCAATTTAAAATTCAGACACACACATCTAAGTGGTCATTCAAATGACATACTCTCGGCCCTCCCCTTTCTAATACATTTTTTTTAAAAATTGTAATTTCTCATATTTAATTTAAACCATACTTTCATTTCATGAAACATTTATCAAGTTTGACAAATAATTTTTCTAACTGGTTAAAGAAAATTTAAGTATATCTTATTTCCATTATGTCAACAATTTCAGACTGATTGACATATATTTGCATTGCCAACCATCTGTTGAGACCACACCTCCTTGTATATCCATAAATAAAATCTCCCAATGCAACCATCCACCTTCCCAGTCTCACCAAGTTACCACACAGTCAATCAATAACATGACCCTAACTCCTTATTTATATTTAGTGAACTATTTGCTTTATTTTGCTATGTTTCTGTGCAGAGACTCAGCCCCTCTGTCCCCTGATGTATTTTATGTAGACCAAGCCAAGGCCTGCTTGCTACAGTTACAAACACCCCAGTTATTGGCAGCAATGAATATAAGGTGAGACAGACATAAGACTATGGATTTTATACATATTTTTGGGGGAATTTAATCAATAATTTATTATTTTTTTCATTTTAATATATACCTCAAAAATATAATAATTTAAACTTTAAATGTGCATTTAAAAATACATTTTAATTCTTTTATTTCAATCACTTTAGGTTATTTGGGTTTTGTCCTTTCTCTTTATATGCAACAATATTAGTTTTATCGATACCTTTCAAGCCCTAACTTCTCATTTTAAAATACAAATAACTATCCCATTCTCACCTATCCCTTTCACACCTATTCATACATATCACTTTCACACCTGTCCCATTCACACCTACACCATTCAAACCTACCACATTCACACATATCCCAGTAACTGCTAGCCCTTTGGCCCCTAACCGTTCACCATCTTTAAGCAAAAAACAATTTCTGAACAACCATGGTCAAAATATCTTGGTCAACTCACTTCTCCTATCCCCATAGAGAGCCCTAACTTTGTACTTTAAGTTACCATGTCTCTTTAACTTTCCCCCATCTATGTAGGTTACCAGATGATGTCTCTTAAACTGTCCCATCTATGTAGGTTACCAAGTGATGTCTCTTAAACTGTCCCATGTATGTAGGTTACCAGATGATGTCTCTTAAACTGTGCCATGTATGTAGCGTACCAACTGATGTCTCTTAACTTGCCCCATTCAGCGTAGCTGAGGTTCGTGACCACTCACACTGTCCTCACCTCTTACGCCACTGCATGCATGTAATGACTCTTAACCTGTGCCATGTATGTAGGGTAAGCAAAGAATGTCAGTCTGCTCTCACCAAGTCTGATTACTGTGCCACATATGTCAACACCAATGGTGAGAAGGCAGCCAGGCTCTTCTGTGACAGTCAGAAGGTCAAGGTCAGTAGTGGGGGCCATTTCATGTCAGTGCTGCAGTCTGACTGGAGGAAGACTTCATTGAGGTCTGAGATGTCATCCAACAGTGTCCCAGTAGACAGTTTGTACAAGGTAAACGATCGGGCTTTTTCTCTTACATCCAGGTTAAAAATAGAATTGATGTTATTTTTAACAGCTTTTTACGAATTATGTAGCTTAGCAGCTGGTTCAAATGATGTTATTTTACTGCATGTACGATTGATGTCATTTAATAATTTGTACAGTTTAACAGTAAATCCACACATATATTATAATCCATCACTGTTGCCAGATTTGGCAGTTCTGATCATATTGAATTCTGCATTGAAATCAGTGATGTCTGAATCTGATTTATTCACCCATTATTTATTTTTCATTTAGTGACTATTCAGATTTCACCCCTCTTTTCAAATTGACCGTTAGCATACATAATGATAAAAATACCAATACTAGTCTAATAGTACTAATAATTAAACAAAATTTCTTGCATCAAGCTGGCTAAACTTGCTATAAAGACACAATGCCTGACACAGTTTGACATTTGGTTTATATCTACCTGTATTTACAGAGCCCACGTAGCGGAAAATTGTATCCAGTCTGTGACCATGGCGACACCGGGACATCACTTGACATCGCAATTCCAAGTTCTTTGTCAAACATGTACAGGTGAGTTAGCCCGCATTACAGGTGAGCTGCCCTGTGACTGTGTATTTGGGGCACAGGAATGGAGGTCTAAGTTTTTAATGAACTGCAGACACTATTTAATCAGCAAATCTACAGTGCTAGGGTGCAGTAAAGCTGCTGTGCTAGGGTGCAGTAAAGCTGCTGTGCTAGGGTGCAGTAAAGCTGCTGTGCTAGGGTGCAGTAAAGCTACAGTGCTAGGGTGCAGTAAAGCTGCAGTGCTAGGGTGCAGTAAAGCTGCTGTGCTAGGGTGCAGTAAAGCTGCAGTGCTAGGGTGCAGTAAAGCTGCTGTGCTAGGGTGCAGTAAAGCTGCTGTGCTAGGGTGCAGTAAAGCTGCTGTGCTAGGGTGCAGTAAAGCTGCAGTGCTAGGGTGCAGTAAAGCTGCAGTGCTAGGGTGCAGTAAAGCTGCAGTGCTAGGGTGCAGTAAAGCTGCTGTGCTAGGGTGCAGTAAAGCTGCTGTGCTAGGGTGCAGTAAAGCTGCTGTGCTAGGGTGCAGTAAAGCTGCTGTGCTAGGGTGCAGTAAAGCTGCTGTGCTAGGGTGCAGTAAAGCTGCTGTGCTAGGGTGCAGTAAAGCTGCTGTGCTAGGGTGCAGTAAAGCTGCTGTGCTAGGGTGCAGTAAAGCTGCTGTGCTAGGGTGCAGTAAAGCTGCTGTGCTAGGGTGCAGTAAAGCTGCTGTGCTAGGGTGCAGTAAAGCTGCTGTGCTAGGGTGCAGTAAAGCTGCTGTGCTAGGGTGCAGTAAAGCTGCTGTGCTAGGGTGCAGTAAAGCTGCTGTGCTAGGGTGCAGTAAAGCTGCTGTGCTAGGGTGCAGTAAAGCTGCTGTGCTAGGGTGCAGTAAAGCTGCTGTGCTAGGGTGCAGTAAAGCTGCTGTGCTAGGGTGCAGTAAAGCTGCTGTGCTAGGGTGCAGTAAAGCTGCTGTGCTAGGGTGCAGTAAAGCTGCTGTGCTAGGGTGCAGTAAAGCTGCTGTGCTAGGGTGCAGTAAAGCTGCTGTGCTAGGGTGCAGTAAAGCTGCTGTGCTAGGGTGCAGTAAAGCTGCTGTGCTAGGGTGCAGTAAAGCTGCTGTGCTAGGGTGCAGTAAAGCTGCTGTGCTAGGGTGCAGTAAAGCTGCTGTGCTAGGGTGCAGTAAAGCTGCAGTGCTAGGGTGCAGTAAAGCTGCTGTGCTAGGGTGCAGTAAATATACATAACTGGAATACATTACATCTGCAGTGCTAGGGTGCAGTAAATCTGCAGCAGACCTGTTTATTCTTACGATTTTGGCGTACAATGTACGATTTTGAGGTGTATACGTTATATATACTGTATGTTTATTTTTACTACTATGATAATGTATTGAACAATTTTGTGATGATATTGTACGATTTTAAGAGTTTGAATGTAAACATGTCTGCTGCAGTGCTAGGGTGCAGTAAATCAGCAATACAAGGTTGCAGTGAATGCTTGCTTGGTGTGGTAGAGCCAATTCCTACCAATGATATTTAATAAAGAAGGGAAATTACCCTCTCAAAGCCAAGTACAGCAGTGTTATCCCCCCTTACTTTTTAGAAGATTGGGTGATCTTAGTGACTACAAAAAAAAAGATTCATAAGATCTATTTTGTTGGTTCAATCTTGCAAAAGAAAAAATGATCTTTAGCTAAAAATCAATTAATAATGTTTAAAGGGCACGATATTCGCCTCTTTACTTATGGGGGAATTTTTATGTTCTTTCCTTAAGTTAAATTTGCAGACTATTGGCCAGCTAAATTACTCGTTACATTTGCCATACCTGGATTCACTTTAAAAACATTATTACCCCCGATCAGGCTATCCACAACCCGCAACCCTTCAATTTACCAGTACTGTTACCTGGATGGACTGGAAGGGACATTGGTCATCGGGTCTGACATGGACACCACGGGCATATTTCACTCCCAGATTGTTCATAATTTCTACATTTGCTGCCGGTCCATTCATGACTTCTTTGTGAGCTTTGGAGAGAAGCAGGTATGAGTACTCTACAGCTCATATGCTTTATGTAAAGCAGCAGTTTGAAACAATTATTAACTTACTACACACTCAAATTAACTACCAAAATTGTGTCATTCTCACCATTCAAATATTTATAAAAACAGCAACAAATTATTATATTAAATTTAATTGAAATGGACTCTATTATTAGTCTGATCTTTCATCTTATTTAAAATGTAAGAGATTTTGTAATATTTTTTTTTACATTGATTTTTATTCCTTTACATCAAACATTTACATTCACATAAAATATTATAATTCTTGTAACTCAAAACACAAGAATCTTTCATATATTTAGAAGCTGACATGACAATAGTTTAAATATCTCATAGAAATGTAAAAGCCACAAAAATACCCCGTTTTCACTTCACAGCAACTATCCGATGGTGATGATGATGATGATAATGACAGTAAGGACTATAAAAATGTTGAATCAGATGTCAGTCTCAGAGAGGTCAGAGAGCATGGCATACTCATGACCTTTAACCCCCACAACAAAGAAGATGGATTCAAAAGTCGTCAGCCACTGGAGTACTGGGTAGTTGGGTAAGTTGAACTTATCTGTCCCTGAAACGCGGGGGTGAGGGGGGGGGTGTGGAAATGATGACATCTTTTTATAAATGCTTATTTTGGTCAATGTACTGTCAATGTACTGTCAATGAACTGTCAATGTACTGTCAATGTACTGTCAATGAACTGTCAATGTACTGCCAATGTACTGTCAATGTACTGTCAATGAACTGTCAATGTACTGTCAATGTACTGTTTGGATAAAACATCCAGATATTATATATGCAAAAGATGTCTATTTACACCCCTCCCATGCCACTTGTAGAAACCTCTCCATCTCTGCAAAGCCTTATTGCAACAGTGCAGCTCTACCTCTTCACTCAATAGATGTATACATGCATTGATGAAATGCTTGTTAAGTAAACTCCTTTGAGTTGATTACAACTTTTAAACTATTATAATTCTTGTAACTCAAAACAACATAACAAATTCATTTAAAATATTATAAGTCTTGTAACTCAAAACAACATAACTAATTCATTTAAACTATTATAATTCTTGTAACTCAAAACAACATAACTAATTCATTTAAACTATTATAATTCTTGTAACTCAAAACAACATAACTAATTCATTTAAACTATTATAATTCTTGTAACTCAAAACAACATTACTAATTCACTTAAACTATTTTACATGTCCATAATAAAAGCAAATTTTTTATTTTGTTTCAGCCGCCGCCTCAAGAAACCATATTTAAGAGAGATGTTTGTGTGTTTCCATGCATCAGCCTCACAGAGTATCATAGAGCTGGCCTTCAGGATGGGCTAGCAACATGCATAGAGCTACCTCTGGTCACAAAGCTGATGTGCTACCTTTGTGCCACAGAACCACATAGAGTACACATGATACACTGGAACATTGTTTAGATGGTATTTTGCACTAGTTGCCGTATCATGGTCCAATATGTTAATACCTATTGTATAATACTTTATAACTGCCAAATGGTACGTTTGGTTTAGTTGGTGATAGACAAGTGTACGTTTGGTTTAGTTGGTGATAGACAAGTGTAAGATTGGTTTAGTTGGTGATAGACAAGTGTACCTTTGGTTTAGTTGGTGATAGACAAGTGTATGTTTGGTTTAGTTGGTGATAGACAAGTGTACGTTTGGTTTAGTTGGTGATAGACAAGTGTACGTTTGGTTTAGTTGGTGATAGACAAGTGTAAGATTGGTTTAGTTGGTGATAGACAAGTGTAAGATTGGTTTAGTTGGTGATAGACAAGTGTAAGATTGGTTTAGTTGGTGATAGACAAGTGTATGTTTGGTTTAGTTGGTGATAGACAAGTGTACGTTTGGTTTAGTTGGTGATAGACAAGTAGTGTAACACTTTAACTGTTTGAGTCAAAGCTTTCAGAATAGGAAGTTTTACCTTTCCTTATTATTGCTAGACATGCAGAAATTTTTAAAATTTAAAATTAACATACAAAATTATTAAAAGAACATTACCGTATCAAAACAGTTTGTATTTACATGTGATCAAAATTTTGTTTTCTATAGAAATATATTTTTGATACTGAGACGTTTTCCATGTCTTCTACATTTTTTATGCATTCATAATCAAATTAATGCTGTTGTTTTTTCTGCTACTCTGAGGCAAATATCTGTTCAAAATTTCTGATGTTGATAAATATACTTACAAAGACAAACGTTTTAAAACAATTTTAACACAAAAAAACTTCGGTATCTTTCAAGCACAAAAATATGTCATGGAACTTCACTCCCTTTGTGACAATATTAAATTTAAGACATTATTAAAATCACTGCATTTGTTCATTAAGTACATACAGTATTCATAGACCTATGTAATCCATCATTTCTGAATGGCAATGTGTTAAGTCATGACATGCATGCATAATACTTAATTTACACACTCTTGTAAAGCTGTGTTCGTGGATTATAGTTTCAAACTTTCTATTTAACATTTTTATTATATATATAAATTTTTCAGTCGAAATCGACCATGACCACCTTAAACATCATATTTGTACATTTTTGATGGCTCATCATTATACCAATTTCAATAATAAAAAAAATGAAATAGCGTTAGAGGATAAAATAATTATTATTAAAGTGGAGCTTATATTGTTATATTGACACACTTTGTTTGTGTCTAATTAATCTAGGATAAAATAAGCAAATTTAAAATATTACCTATCTGCTAATTGAATTGGCAAACACTGATGGCTTACTTTCTATTTCTTACACAATAGCTCTGAGACAAAGACACTCATGTCAAATTTTTTTAATCCCTAGATTTCTTTCAGATTTTAAAATAAAAAAAAATTTCTAGAATATTCTATGCCATATTTTTTATTTTTTTGTAAACCTTTTTAATTTGTAAAAATGTTAAAATTCTAAGTCCATCATAAATGCCATGCAGATTTGATGGATTTTCTGGTTTTAGATCTGGTTCTAATTAAGGCATTCTTTTGTTTCCTTTCAATGATTAATAAGAAAATATTTTGTATTTACTGTTAAATATAATGTGCCTTAAAAATGATACGGTTGTGCCCAATAATAAATTCAGAATATGATGTGTTGACATTGCGAAAACAAGTCTTGTTTGCCAATTTGGCTCTAGTCTTGTAAATATATATTTGTTCTTTTATTGGTTTTCTTTTTTTTTTACTAAAAATTTGTTGAAAAAGTAATGCATATTCTACCTCATACATAAAATAATGCATTTTAAACATCTTTATTAATTCTGTATATTTGTACATACCAAATTGGGAGTAATAATATTTATGTAGTGTTAATAATATCCTAAGATATGTGTAAAATACTTATTTAAAAAGTATTAGGCCAACATTTTTGTCACCTACTGAATGAAACTTGGCTGCGATTGTCATTCTAACAATCTTAAAATCAATGCTTACAGTCTACATGACATCACAAGCTAGATAGTTACGAGGAGGCTTTAGCTTGCTTCTGAACATATTTTTACAGGACGATGGCCGAGGCTTGAATGTGATGTGATGGCCGAGGCTTGATAAGTTCACCAGTTTGTCAGCCAGCCTCTAGAAATAGCATTTAACTAATCAAGTTAGTGTTGAGCCTTAAATTTAAATAAGGGATGCAAGACTTTACAAATGCTATACAAAAACTTTCCTTAGCCACTAAGAATGGATGGAATGAGAAAGTGAGGTTAACCATCTTTGAAATGATAAGATGAAGCCTTTCGTGCACTTATGATTTGAGGGTGAATAGATGTACTCTTTTATCTGTATTAACAGGCCAATTGGTATACTTCTATTTTTCTATGGTGATTTTAAAAAGAATACTGTGGCTAACAGAAAAGAAAGATTTTGAGACTATGTTTTCTGTTTAAGTGAATAATGAAATTCTAAATGTGATTCCTATAAGTAATTTGTGATTAAATGACATGTTAGTGCAATATTATCTGTACTTGTGTAAACAGTTGACATTTGACGAAAATTAAAATTATAAACAATTCCAAATCTGTTCTTTAATTATTATTTTTTTTAAAGTTACATTTTTTTTTTAACATATCTTTATGTATCCAAATCTGGGGCAGAATTCCCTTTTCAGTCCCTTTAGCCAATAACTCGCGCACAACTGATCCAGTTATCCAACCCTTCTGACAGATCCTAAAGCATTGATTTATAACAGGGGTCTCAAACCCGCAGGCCATTTGCAGCCCTCAAGACGATATTTTGCGGCCCCCTACATGAAAGCAAAGTTTAGTGTTAATGTGGCCCACGTGTTCTCCCCATTCTCATATCTATAATGTGACCCTCCCCGACAGTTTCAGTCGAATCTGGCCGACTAGTCTAATTCTGATTATAATTATGTTTGTATAGATTTTGACGTTGACCATAATGGTAAAATCTGTTTTAAAATTGGAAGAACAGTTTTTCTTTTATAGCATTTTATAAGACAATCATGGCCAAAGTGCAGTTTTAAGAAGAATTTGAAGTCAGTGAGTGGGTAATATTTTATGACACGTACAACAGAAAATAAAATCACAAACTAAATTTTCATGATGCATTTATTTAATATATGATCTTATAATATATATATATTATATTAATGTGAATATAATAAATATACAAAATTTACATTTTAAAATATCTTGCATCAGTTCTGCAATAAACATAAATAAGTAGCATAAATACACATACAAATATAAGGCATCAAAATACATTTATTAACACTTCACAGACTGGCTTATTCAGAGAGCGTTCTTTCAAAAAAAGCGAACCAGCAACTATATATATAATACAACAATTAAGGTGAACATTATAAAATTCTCTATGCTTAGATTAGCAAAAACTGGAGACTGTCCTTATTCCAGGACTAGAATGACAAGACTAGGTAAGTTCAATGTTCGCTCTCTACAGCTTTTGTAATTCATTGTTTATTTAAACAAATTACAACAAATGTACATTTAAACAGCATTTTAAATATTTATTATAGTGAACTGCATTTTTTAAGTATTACGTAAATCAAAAATAAAAATAATTTGGGAGGATTACATTTTATTTTTAACAACATCTGCAGGTTTGGTGAGATGTAGCAATTTAGTTGACAGCCAACCAATGTCTCACGGAACAAGTTTAGAAGTAGAGTAAGCCAAAGAAAATACAGACTTTGTTTATACAAATAAAAGGTTACCATCTTTTCTGGTCATCTTTATAGAAAATAAATATTTCTTTAACAATTTTAGAGTATGAGAAATCAGCTGTTAAATAATTTTTAAAACTCATGAACTTAAGTACAGTAAATTTTTTCAGGTTGGTAAACTAAAGTAAAATAATCTCAAAATGAACATAACCTGACAGGAATGAAACATTCCTTGTATCATAAACTATTTAAATTATTTCAGCACGCACTAAACTAGTTAAGTCAAATTTATTTTCTAAAAAAAAAAAAACTAAATTTTTCAAACAAATATTCAAGCTCACTTAGCATA